ATACACATCATGCAAATACCAAATTATGACAAAGTTTAATGAAATAATCATGTATCCCTTTTCATATCAATAATTCTCTCTTCGTGATTTTAGAATAATTAGTTGATCTCCCTTGGTTTGCTTATTCTCTGTAAACTTTAGAAAGGGTTGAATAATTTTAATTATTTTGATAAGCTAAACTGACTAAAATGTGTAATAGATTTCGCCCTCTGGGGTATTGTGTGTCTGTGCATGTGTGCATGCAGATGTACTTAGTGTGGGTGAACTCAGTTATTCATGTATGTGTAGTAGCCAAAGGTCAGCTTCAGGTATCTTTCTTTATCACTCTCCATATGACTTTTTAAGACAGTGTGTTTCACTGAGCCTAGGTTTTGAGGTTAGGTTAGAATATCAGGCCAATGAACTTCAAATTATATGACTATATATGGCCCCGATTTCCAAAACCAACACTAGCGTTACAGGTAGGTGCTATCACACATGATATTTATGTGGATGCTAGGGATCGGAGTTCAAGTTCTACTAATTGTGTGGCAAATATCTTACCCATTGAGCCACCTATCAGTTACTAGCAGCCCATTTTTAATATTGCTGTATTGATGTAAATAGTGGGTTTAAAAGATTTTATCTTTGGCAACTTTTAATTATTTTTAATGAATCTAGTGTTTGAGTTGAGATTAGCGATCTATGTAAAGGTGTTGGGTAGACACCTTTAATGTATTAGATTCTGCCACAGGACAGCCACTCTCCTATTTTCCATTTCAGTTTTAGGTGTTCTCACATTACATTGGAATTCTTCTTATCCAACTGCCTTCCATACTACAATAGTTTAATTGTAATTGCCCTTGTAAGCTCATAGAGAGTGACACTATTAGGAGGTGTGACTTTGTTGGAGTATGCATGACCTTGTTAGAGGAATATGTCACTGTGGTGGTGAGCTTTGAGGTCTCATACATGCCTAGTCCATGCCCAGTGGTTCAGCCCACTTCTTGTTGTCTTCTGATCAAGACGTAGCCAGCACCATATCTGCCTGCATACCACCATAATACCCACCATGATGATAATGGGCTGAACCTCTGAAACTGTGAGCTACCTCAATTAAATATTTTCCTCTGTAAGAGCTGCCATGGTCATGATGTTTCTTAATAGCAGTGGAAATCCTAGCTAAGACAGCAACTAAACTGAGTACCTCTTCACTCTAAAAAGCTCATTTCATCCAATTCTGCATCTGTTTTAATATTTTGTTATTAAAAATAGCAATATAAATTGCAATGCAATATTAATAGTTCTTGGGAAAATATTAAGTGCTTTCCTTTACGTCTGTTGAGAAATTTATTAACATTGATATAGTAAAGGTTTGTTTCTTAAATAAAAAGCTGAATTTACCTTCAGAGAAAGAAAATAAACAGAAAAGAGGAAAGTATTGGATTTGCCCATTCTTAGTGTGTATTCTCTTTCTTTTTATATTTTGTGCATTATTCCAGGCAGCTTCAGATGCATAAGCTTGTTATGTAGGAGCAGTAGTTTTCTGACTACTTTGTTAAGAATGTGTTTATAATCTCACAGTGTGTGGTTATTCAGTTAAGATTAATCTTCTCTCAGAATTATAATGTGAACACAATTTAGCAACAACCAAACTGTCATCGCTTTGTCAGCAAAAATGTATGTAAATTTCTAGAACCTTGTGGATGACTAATGGATTACACTATAACAGAAAGAAGTTGAGATTTTTATTTTCCTCTGGAGACACAACAAAATATCTGTACTGATGCCAAATCTATGTCCTGAAAGTATTTATTTTTACTGAAAAATGTTGTTAGACTACCTTTAGGGATAGCCAGAACTGAAAACAGACTGTAACCCTCAAGTTCCTTATATTAAGTTATTCTACACTACAGTTTTTAAAGCTACCTGGAAATTCATGCTCAATATTTCCGATAAAATTTTCTTTATGCATAATGAGAATGTGAGTGTTCTTCCGGAGGGGAAATGGAATTAAAAATGATCTAGATAACCTAAATTTTGTTCTTTTTAATAACAGTATACCCATTGCCTAACAAAGTATCTCAATTTTAGTGACCACTGTCAATGATTTGAGTTTCTTGATGACTTTTGTGTCAGAGTCTAAGAATAGTTAGTCTCTGACAACAAAACAGATGCTAGAACAGCTGGACTGGATGATTCATTTCCAAGAAGGTTTCTTCATTTACATGTCTGATACCTTGGTATTCACTGAGCTTTTTCTCTCCACATGATTGATGTTGTGCCCATGTGACTTGAGTGAGTTTCATGTAGCTTCATGTAGCATGGTGGTTTTACAGCTGATCAAAAGACTGGAAGAGAAGTTGTAAGTTTCTCTCAACCTAGCTCCTAGAATCTCAAAACAATATTTATGTCCTACTCTATTAGTTACGTCTACCCCTGAGACCAACCAAGAGTTTGAAGAGTAACAAAACCCACAATCATATTGTAGGAGTAACAGAAACACGTATTTTTTTTATCATAGTGTTGCCTTGAATTTTAAGAGATTACATTTTTCAGACCGTCATTTAAGAAGATGTTTAGGTATTTGGATTTGGCTATTGTATTCTTTGGAAACTTATAAACACTTTGACCTAGTTTGAAGATATCTGAAGCTTAAAAAATACACTGGATAAATTTTGGAATCTGGTGGAAATAATTTCTAGATGTTTTATTATTACTAAATTATCAATGTTTGTTATTGAATTTTGAAATCCACCCTGTTTTGTGTGAACATATATTCCAATACACACCAAAGTATCATTCTAATACTACCATGCTATATTAATTTTTTAAATTTCCTCAGACATAAACTGAGACATCCAATAAACTATTATCTTCTTCTAATTCTTTTTTTTCCTATAATGAGGTATTTTTTTAAAGTGTTTATCATTCTGACTACAGGTCTCTCATTAAGGCTCAGAAATTGATATTTATAGTACTCATAACAATTTCTTTACTACTGAGGAATACAAGGAACTTACAAAATGATTTCTCATTTGAAGAAATGGTGTCAAATAAATAAAACCACTACAAATTACCTAATGCTGTACTTGTTTAAATGCAGAAGATCTAGTGACCACTTTTGTTTTACTTTTGCTAAATGATATGGTTACTTCAATATCTTGTAGAAACATCCTTTTGAGATGAAAAATGGGTACCTCTCAATCTTTCTGTCAAAAAAGTTATGTTCAGACTAAATAGTTTGACATGATACCTTAGATATAAACTATATAAAAATATAAATTAGATAATTATAATAATTTTACAAGATGGTAATATTGGTGGGATGTGTTGTTATGTGTTGGAATATTTGTTCATACAAAGCAAATATATTGTAGATGTTGCAAACAACCCATACAAGGCTATACTTTGTGAAACTGAGTAGGATTTATCCCTTAAAAGGGTCCATTTCCTTGTTTTGAGCAGTAATTCTTAAACTTTTTTATGGAAGTGTGCACAATGGCTGAAAAGAACAAAAAGTCTTTCCACCATCATCATAAATAAAATTCATTCCAGTTTTATTTGGGATATTTCTGAAAATTTTGTTTTCTCTGCTTAGTATATGAGTTTTCTTTTAAAAAAAAAAGTCTGTTCACTAGATGTCTCAATGTAAAATAATAATAAAAGATCATGAATGTCTTTATGCAACCCCTGGAAAACCAGAGCACACCACTGACACATTTGCATCTTAATAGTGTAAGTTAAACTAATTGAGTAGAAAAAAATGTCAGTAAATCTATAGTTTTTCATTTCCTTTAACAAAATATAATGATTTCAAAAATATTATGGGAACGATGGAAAAATAATAGTCTTATATTATATCTCATCTTTTGGTTTAAACAGACTTAACATGGGTACTCACATTGTTAGGCAGCATTGAAAACCTACATTTTAGCATAGCAGACAAAACCTTAGGGACATAACTTTCTCTCTCCTCTTTTCTTTTCTTTTTTTTTTTTTTTTCATTTGGACCGTGGAGGGCTCAGTCCGGTGTCTCTCTCCTCTTTTCAAATTAGAATAAAATTCTCTTAATCCAAGTTTGGTTGGTAAAATCAAAACGAGAGTCAATAATTTCACAAGCAAGTGGAAATATTGTGTTTAATTAAATCTCCTTGGCTGTATAATTCGTAGGCACCCCCATGGTCACAAATTACAAAAGATCATATAATTTCTAAAATTCACTTAGCTCTTCCACTCTTCGTTATTAATTGAAAAACTTCAGATTACTAAGGTCAAGCTGAAGATAGACAAAAGCTCACAAATGTTAAGTAACATATTTTAGATTAAAGACCACATTTTGGAAGAAAACCAAAGTAGGCCTGCCCCTGAGCTTTATTCTTATAGTTCTTTCAAGTCATGTGGATTGAAGGAAGGGAAGACACACACACACACATACAAGCACACAAGCTTGACGTTTTATGTTCTTGTTTGAGACTGTGAAAAGATAGTAGTACTCATAAATCAACTTGTTACTTTTCCCAACATCATATGATTCATAAATATTCAGGATCTTGTCCTTAAAATGGGTTTTAAATAACACTGGATTATGTCGTTGGAAATAATATTATCAAATCATCTTAAAGGCTGCACCGAGCCCTGTCTTTTATGAAGTGCTTAGTCTCCAGAAGTTAATGGTCTCCAAATAAAATTTTTTGGCTGACACACGTTTGCAAAGTTTTCTGTACCAATCACTGATGCAAGACAACCATGAATCTATCAATCACGGAGTTAAAAAGCTCTGTCGTATAGCATACTTAATACCCAGTGTAACAAATTAGTATTACCATTCCTCAATGCAATACAAACTCATTTCCTTAAACTGCTATTGTACTGAATGCCAGGGTTATAAATGAGCAGAACACAAATTGATTTGCATGTAATAACAGTGGCAATAAACCTTTCCTGGTTCATGCAATTTTCCCCATCTGTTAACAGAGAACAAGTTTAGGATCTATTATTATTCCCAGAAGGAGACTTACCCAGCTGGACATCTATAACACTTGGCTGATTTTCCATGGGGAACAATGGCTTGGGAGGCTTGTCTGTGAGCAAAGCTAAAAGAGAAAATGAAAGAAAGTAATGGAAAAATTGAGATAAATTATAGGGTAAAGATGATTCTACCGTGTATGATATTTAATGTTTGTAGACTTGATGGTGTGTAAACATTTATTAGATAGTGTTTGTACTTGGGCTGTTACTCTAGCCATACAATATCCATTTCCCAGCAAATGTGGAGCTCCATTGATTCCCTTAAAATAGGATATTCACACAGCTATATATTCCAACGCATTCAAACAAATGGACTGTTTATTTTGGATGCATATGCAGAAGCTTGTATGTGTCCAGAAATATAGATTGAAAAAATAAAAGCATAGAAACATTAAAATTCACATATTTGCTTTGTGACACTAAAGAGTCAAAACGAATTGCAGTGGATTTCCCGTAGCATAAACCTTGTAAGAGTCCAGGTCATCCCCATTTTTGCTCTAATATTCAGTAACACAAGACAAGACTGATAGCTCTTTAGGGACTGGTTTTAAAAAGTCAGGCTCTTTGAATCTCTGTGAGTTCAAGACCAACCTGGTCTACAGAACAAGTTCCAGGGCAGGCTATAAACTATAAAGCTACAGAGAAACCCTGTTTAGAAAAACCAAACAAACAAACAAACAAAAGTCAACCTCTGTTGTCTACCAAGTTTTGTCTTAAAGACAAGGAATTAAAATATTCTTCTTTGCTCTCTATTTATAATCTAGGTCTATGAACACTAGACTAGCACAACAAAAGAGAAAGAGAATAAACCATAGTACAATATAAGTAACATTGTATTACTCAAGCAGTATATATATATGAGATGTGGAGAAAAGAAGGTCAATGCTGGCTGAAAAGGTTGAAGGAATTTTTAAGTAGGGACTTTGATGTCAACGTGAAACTTAAAGGATAAAATAAAGGACCTTAGTGATGAAACGTATCAAGAATGATGTATAAACAAAGGAACCACCTGATGAGAAGGAATTGAATGGGTGATGTGAAGAACCAATTGTTCATGGAAGGAACAATACAAATTGGAAATGACACTACATAGATAGAGAAGGACTCAATTCTGAAGGGTTTGAAACACACCAAAAGATTGGGACATGATATGGTAGGCTAGAATGTCATTAGTGATTCTTGGAGGAAAACAATTACTCAAAGGTCAACTGAATCTAATGATGGTGGCATGTGGGATATGCTGGAGGGCAACAAAAGCGAATGAGAAAATGGTACTAAAGGCGAGGCAGGGTGAAGCAATGAGTAAGACCACGAGTCTGGAAACACAAAAAAAAAAAAAAAAAGAAGAAGAAACAAAGGTAATTAGAAGAAAACAGCAGAGGAAAATGTCATATGTACTGTTGTCAGAAAGACAGTCTTATCTCATCCTATTATTCGTATCTTGAATTCATTTAAATTACTACTGTTTTCATGTCTTGCTTAAACTATATAACTAGATCTTGCCTCCTTAAAATGTTTTATAGGTCCTTTTAATACACAAGAGGCTTAGCTATGGGGTAGATTACAAAAGATAATAATTAAATCATAATTAATTAACTGTTTGGAAAATCTCTGCTGATGTGAAAAGAGTCTATCTCAGCATTGAGTGTTGATTACAGGGGACTATCTCAGTGTTAAGTGCTGATTACAGGATATGTACAGTTATAGAAATAAACAATTATGATGAGAATCTCAAAAATACTTCTTGATAACCAAAAATACATCAAAAATATACGTAGAAAAGATATTTATATAGCATAAGCTCCATCTTCTTTAACTGCCCATGATAGAAAAAAAATGCTAAATGAATTGTTTTCATTTTTCAACAAATCTTCATTGGTAGCCAACAAAATATTATTCTTACAGAATTTAGCAATATTTTTAATTCAAGCAGACTTGTAAATAATGTATACAGACCTAAATATCTAATATACAATCTTTACAATGTATAATATATAATTATAATGTATTATAATTTCAGTTGATTTTAATAATCTGATCTTTAATTGTTATTTAGAATATAAGAAATAAAAGCTTAAACATCTGAATTCAAAATCCAATCACATATGATGCTATTTGGCTACCATAGTTCGCTACTGTCAGTAACAACCAAATATTTGAAACAACTTAAATTTCCATTGATAAAACTTTGGTTAAATAAAATTGTGGTAATTTTATATGTTTATCTCATACATTATGATACAGTTTTTATATATTTATATCATATATTATGATACAGTAGATTGAAAGCATGAGCTACAGTAGATTAAAAGAATGAGATACATTTGTAAATCTGATATAAACATATCTCTAAGACACATTGCAAAGAAGTGAGGTCATAAATACTGTATATAGCATGGTACTACTGAATATGTAACTACAAAAGTTTTAAATGTATAAAATTTAGATAAATACAGAATATTCTATTATATATATATATATATATATATATATGTATATTACAATATATACAACTTGCAACAGTGAATTCCACTAAGGTGAGGAACTGGTTAGCTAAGGAATAGTGGGAGACAAGGGCAATGCAGAACGGTAGCCTATACAAATATTCAAGTAACATTATGTAGATGTTACTACATAATGTCCCAGTGTCATTATCAATGGCTTCTCAGACAGTCCCCGTGCCAGCCACATTCAGAGAATCCGGCCACATTCAGAGAATCTGGTTGGATCACGTGCTCATTCAGTCCCAGTTCAACTGGCCTTGGTGAACTCTCATTAGATCAGTCCCCTATTCATCTGGATCTTGACCACCAGCTCAAAGACAAACCTTATGGCACCCCCATGTAATAATAGCAATAAGATTAGCTAAAATACATGCTACCATGGGCAGGACAGCTCATTTGCTTCTCTGCCCCCAACCCTCTTTTACAAATTTCATCTCGAACTCATAATGATCTATTGAAATCAATATTCCTGAACAACAGAGTAGACGATTACAATTTTATCAGAAAACCAATCCTAGACATTGAGAGGGAGTAATTTGGTTATAACTAAATGTTACTTTGTGATTGGAAGAATGGAAACAAGGGATTCAGTTTGATACACATGTTTCATTCTGATTTCCCTCCGCTGCCCTTCCATCTGTGGCTGCTTATCTGCTTTGTTTAATTATCCTTAAATATAATTGCTCTACAGAGCAGACCAGCACACTGGGCTTAATGTGCTACTGGAGCTGCTAAAGTCACTGTCTGTGTCTTCCTTAAGTGAGATTTTATGTGTTCAATACTAACATTCTTGAGGCATATGCTCAAATGACCCCGTTTCTATTGAATCCAGTAGTTTCCGTCATGCACCGCCAGATCAGTCAGTGTAACAGAAATGGTTTGACAATGCCATGAACATAGTGGATATATGAATAGCATTATTTATTGAAATGGATGAATCAGTTGATTATATTGCCTTTACACTGTACACTAGTATTACAATTTTTATCGCCCTCTTCGACTTTTCATTTGTCTACTTAATTAGATTTCCAAAAAGATCAAGTGAAAGGGAGTTAAATTCAGCCATTAATTTCTGTGAATGATGCCATTTTGGAATAAGTGTGTTAGGGTCAATCAACTGGACCACCCCCACCAAGCCTATTAAGTACCCCAGCACATGAACTCACATACAGAAATCACTATTTAAAACAGCATTTCAAATCACATACCAAAATTTCTATTTTATGGCAACATTTAGCTGCTCACATCTAACAGTATCTCCTACATTTATTGGAGGACAAAGTCTAAACTGATCACTGAAGAACGTAAATTACGGTGATGACAAGATAGCCTTTAAAGTGGGGTTGAATTTTGGCTTATCCTCTAACTTATCAGCCGCACATATCAAAGTTGTTTTCCTCATTTACCATATTAGTGCACTACATTAATTTTTAAAACTGCATTCTGACGGAAATCCTCCCCCTCGAGCTTATAATTACCAAAGTTATCCTTTATAATAGTTAGCAAAGTGATCATGTGGTTGTTTGAATAGGAGCGACACACACAGACTCACATATTTGAATACTTGGTCAGTAGAGGATGGCACTATTTGCTAGCAGTTAGGAGATGTGGCCTTGTCAGAGTAGATGTGGCCTTATTGGAGGAAGTGTGTCATTGGATGTGGGCTTTGGGGTTTTGAATACTCAAACCAGACTCAGTGGCTCCCCTTTGCTTGCTGCCTGCAAATCCAGATGTAAAACTCACTGCTCTTTATCCTGCACCATGTTTGCCTGCATGCTATCATGCTTCCCCACGTGCTGATAATGGACTAAGACTCTGAAACTGTATGCAAGCCCTATTAAATTAAATGTTTTCCTTTATAAGAGTTGCCATGTCCATGGTGTTGCTTCATAGCAATAGAGCACTAAGACTATGTGTGCCAGTCCTATCCAAACAACCACATGATAACTTACATAGATTGATTATTTAGCATTTTCTGCTACTATGTGCCATTCTAAGGTATTGCATTACGTCTGGCAAATAACTTGCACATAAAGTTCCATAGATTTCATTCCCAAAGCTGCAATGAGACCTTTCTGATATCAGCATGTCCACAATATTCTCCCTACTACTTTCCACTTCCATTGTGAGGTCTACCTAACCTCCAAGAAAAACAGCCCTGATAACCACAGAAGCAATTTTTTTTCTCGTCTGAAATCCCAAAGCATTTACAAGTTCTTTGAACTATTCATTTGGTAAATAGCAAGCATTACCTTGAATATAAACTAATCCTCACTTTATGTGGATATGCCAAGTTATCCCAAATGGGTTTTTAATCTTCTGGATGAAGATCATGCCTCCAATAAGTCAGCACACAAAGTTATATTTGACCTTGGATAACAAATAAAAACAATCTGAAAACTAACTTTCACTAGAAAATAGGGCTTCCCATGGGCCTCTTTGATTGCAAGGAACACAATTTTGCTGATTACAGCAAAAGGAGAACTTATCATGGGGCTCTCTCAAGGATGGTAGAGAAATCTGGGGAACTAGGTCTAGGAATGAAAGAAACTAGGCCAGGA